CGGGAGAGGGGGCGGTCGTGGAGGGCGGGGACCTGGGGGCCCAGCGCTCGGACCTGGCATGGGGTATGCGTTCGGAAGCCATGCAACGTACGAAGGATACGATGAGGAGGCATACGGCTGGTACGACGATGGGTATGGCTATGGTTACGATGAGGAAGGTGAGGGCTGGGAAGGCGATTTTGGATACGCGTACGCGGACCCGGCATACTTTGGCGCGTTCTACGCGGCCGCACCGGCGATGATGGCTGGTGGTCGCGGTGGTGGCCGTGGCGGAGGTGGAGAGTACGAGATGTACGGCTACAGCGGTACCGGTGGCATTGCCAGCAGCGGCAGTGGCGGCGGGGGGGGAGGCGGCGGCGGGTATTCGGGTGGTAGTCGGCCTGCCGGCGGAGGCGGGGGAACAGGGAAGGGCAAGGGCCGTGGCGCCGGGTAGCCAAGCCAAAATCTAAAACCGTTGCCTCTGCTTGCTGCACTTCATGTATATACGTTTTCTTTCGATTTTGTGTTTTGAGTGTCTGATGTGTGATGTGCACGCAGCAAGCCGCCCTGATCCCACGCTGCTGGGCAACCTCGCATTCTCAGGCGTACTTGCAGCGGCCGTGCTTGGTGCGCTTGGATTGCATGAATATGCCACCTGTGTTTTTCCTTCGTTGGTCTTGTAAAAAAAGCGTGTGGGCTATCCCTCGAACGCTTAACCAGCTTTGAACTGTACCATGTCAGCACGTCGAGCTGCTCGGGCCCATCTGGACGCATGCTTCCATACACATATCGGGATTGGGGCAAAGCTGCGCACAAGTGGGGCGCTCGCCCACCTCATCGCGGTCCTTGTAAGAAATTATTTCCCACCAGCCTAATCTAATGTTATGGAAAGGGGCGATATAGAAACCGAGCCATTTGGACGGGAGAGTCATCAGCTTTTCCGGAGGATTGATTGATTCAAAGGAACTGCGGCGCACGTCGTTGGAAACAAAGGCGGCGAATGTCCTCTGGTTGTCGCAAGCTGGGATTCCGTATCCAGGCAGACACACGGCAAATGCACACCATACATTTCCGCTGAGGGCCGCAATGGGATACCTCGGCGTGTGGATACCAAAGGGGGGAGGTCACATGCGGTGCGGTTTAGCGTTACAAGCCGTCGGGCACCCAATTGTAGTGTACGTGCCGTACATCAGCGCAGAGTCAAGTCACTCGATTCCGCCTAATCAATACCATAAAAAAGACTCCGACAGCACCAGGGGACCAGGGAACATGACCTGATGACGGACAACAACCCATGGCATGAATCGAATAGTGTCCTCTACTTTGTCGGCATGCGTGCGTGCTGCGAAGCTTATACAATGTACACACAAGCATATGTCGGACAGACACGATAAACAGCATAAAAAAGCATTAAAAAAGTTCTGCTGGGTCCGGGAGCCCGCGTAGTTGGAAATTACAGCCGAGAAGCGAAACCACAGGTATGATTGAACCGCGGCAAAGGAAAACGGTGCCTGCGCCACTCCCCACATACCGACATGTTTAGTCCGCTGTACACTTGAGGTGACGGCTCCCAAGTACGTCATCAGCCCCATACTATGTCATAGCTGCCGACACGCTACGACAGCTAGACATCGCACCAATTGCACAATACAAAACACCACTTACAACACAACAGTTCTAGTAACCACGATGCTAGAGGTAAGATAGTCTTCTCGATCATTTGCATTGGGGCGCCTGCACAGCCAACATTTCCTTTATGGTACATCAGAACGCCAACGGGGGGAAAGAGGCGTGTCGTGTTTATGGTTGACAGCCCACACGTGCCTCTGTATGTTCCACACCGGACAGCATTACTGCACGGCAACGCGTGCTGCATTAGCCGGCCCCCACCGGACCAAACCGGTACAAAAATAGGCATTTCCTTAAACTTACGCAGCATTAACAAAACGCAGGAGCCTATGCCCCAAAGTATTAAATTGTCGGTGTGCGCATCCTTATAGCACAACATTATGGACAACACGTACATACAATGCAACATCACCTTCGAACCGGTCCCAATACCGCATATTGTCCATTCCTCGCCTATCAACCCCTCTGTTCGTAACCTGCCATCCGTTTTATCACCGACACATTTGATGCAGGTAAACAGCTTGTCCCGTGACTTCTACAGACCCTGCCCTCCGAGCTCACGCGCGCCTACCTGTTACTGCGCACCTTCATACGGAACGCTGCATTCGGGACATATCAAACTCTCGCCAGCAACGCCGCCGGCATATGCACTCAGGTCCGAGCACAAACAGGACCAGACCAAAATTAAAATTGCCCAATCCAGTGCTTCAGAAGAAGTAGAAGTTTCAACGTACGACCAATCTAAACTTTGCTATGTAGTACGACAACAGGAAAACAGCGTTGCTAGTGTTGGGCTCAATGCGGACAATGTACAACAGCCCTTAAAAGACAGTCGCGTAGCCAGCGACGTAAAGGAAATGGACGTGTGCATTTCCCGCTCAACACCTTCCACAGCCCGCCACGTGCTCTCCAAAAGGAACTCCTCCTCGCAGATCGCACCCCCTCGAAATCCCCTAGGTCCTATTTATGTAATGGTATTCAACCCTATTGTTGTGAACACCGTAGTCGGAACGCAACTGGCATCTGTTCGTAACACCGAGTATCATTTCTCCAATCCAATTCCACTGCCTTCCTGTGGCTTCCTGTGGCTTCCTGTTTCCCTCGCCTCCGCCTCCAGCGTCGTCCCCCTCCCCTCTACTTGCCGCAGCAGCTCAGGCAGCTGCAGGGCGCACGCCCCGGCAATGACACGGCGCTGGGCTCGATACCAAACGGGGCCAACCCCGCCAGCGCCAAAATCTCCTGCTTCAGCTCCTTCACCAGGCCCTCTGGCTGCCGGGAACAGCGCTGGTACTGCTGCTGGTGCTGCTGTGACGGCGGCAGCACCTGCGGCGCGTCCGCGACCCCGTCATCCTCTGCCGAGGGTGCAGCAGTGGTGGGTGCAACGGCGTCTGCCCGGCCCTCTGCACTGCCAGCGTTGCTGCCACCGCCGCCCCCGCCGCCACCACCACTGGCGCCGCTGAGGGCCATTAGGGCGGCAACGCGCTTGCGGTCTAGTAGCGCACGGCCCGCTGCAACAGCCTTATCGTACAAGTCAGCGCGGAGCTGCCGCTGCTGGCGGCAGCGCGCCGCCGCCATGAGCCAGCTTCCCGCCACGTCCTGCAGGGTGGCCAGGATGCGCTGTGGCATGAGGCTATGTGGCGCGGAGGGTACGCCGCCGAGCTCTGAAATCACCGCGCTGCAGCCATACAGCCACAGCTCGTCCACGGCCTTGCGGCATTCCGCCAGCTCGTTGCCGTCCTACGCGGTCAATCGAGTTTAAGAGAGGGTTATTTATTAAGAGAGTCATCGAGGCAACGTGCATTGTATAATAAGCTTCGCAGCACTTCATATGGGTCTATTTACACAAGCGAAGCGACGAAGGAAGTTGACAGAACGTGGCAGCGAAGGGGAGAGAAGCGCGAACAGCACTGACATCGCATCCACACCATGGCCGAGACGCGTTCTTGCCTGGGATTGGGCGGAACCATCGGGCATCACCCTGGTTAACACCCCCCATGGCCATGGGGGGTCCCCGGCCTTCGTTTTGTTTACCGATAATGAGCTTGCACTTTGAAGTAATGACCGCTTCTTGTATACTGGTTAAATCGCCTCGCAGTCCCTCCTCAAAATGGGAAATAACATAACGGCAAAATTACAGCCCGTAGCCCACGTATCCCAGATGGAAGCGCAGTGCCCCACCTGCAGCTGTTCCATCTCAGTGCAGTGACGGCGGTACCAGGCATCGTCCGCCGGCGTCCGGTTGTGGCAACTGTTGCTGCATGCGCCAGCCTCCTGCTCCTCCCCGCTCCTGCCCTTGTCCATGCCCTCCAGTTCCTCCGCGTCCGCTTCACACTCCGATGGCCACAGCCCCGGCCATCGTGCATGCTGCTGGCCGCAAGGGCACAGCAGGCCTGCCCCCGGCGCTGCTGCCAGATCGCTGTATTGCTGCATCAACACGTCTAAATGGGCTTCCCATGGTGCCGCCGTGTACAGCGCCTGCCGCACCCTGGCCGCCTCCCCGTCCACGTCAGCGCCATAGGCCACTAGGCAGTGCACGTGCGAAAAGCAATCGCCCATCGCTGCAAGGCGGAGCGGCGAGTTAGACGGGTTATCGGCCCAGGCCACGTGCGGTCGTGCGCCGCGTCGGAGCAGCGTGCTGACGCAGCAAGTACGGGAACCACGGCAGAAGCGGCCCGCACACAGGAGCAGCGGCGCGCCCAGCTCCGGGTCGGCGCCCTGCTGCAATAACCACTGCATCAACTGCTGCTGGTCGTTTCCTGTGGCGAGGACGAGCGGCGTAGAGGCCAGGTGCGCTGGGCGCACCGCATCGATGACGCAACGCGGCAGGCGCGGCGGCAGGGCGGCAATGACCTCTCGGGGGAAGGCATGATGGGAAGCGAGAGACCAGACGAGGAAGCGCAAGGACCGAAGCACAGGCGGATGGCGTTGATAATCAGGAGGCAGGGCGGTGAGCAATGTGGGGACGACGGGCCAGTGGCCAGCGGCAGCGGCTGCAGCTAGCGGGCAGGTGTCGCGCAACGCCAGAAGCGAGGCTTCATCAACGTCCGGGGCTGAACATGGGGAACTCTGCGTGTTGCCTTCGTTGGCTGACGGGTGTCGGTCGACAGAGGTGGAAGCAGTGGACTTGGTATGAGGAAACAGCGAAGCGCCGTGGAATAGAAGCTCCTTCACAATGTCGACGTGACCTGAGCTGGCCGCAAAGTACAGCGGCGTCCGGCCTGCACGGTCAGAACGCTCTATGTCTGCACCCATGGACACTAGAACTCCAACAACCGCGAGTTGGCTGATCTGCGCCGCACGACATATGGCTGTTTCGCCGGTGCTTGGGTCCTCAAAGTTGGGATCCGCGCCGTTGGCCACGCAACGCATGACCTGCACAGCATCGCCTAGGGCAACCGCTGCAAGCAACCGTTGACCGGCCTGCATGGCAACTTCAGCTGCAGAAAGAAGCTCTTGCTGATGATTGAAGGGCTGGCCGCAACGACCGAAATCCATGGCACCGTGCTTGCTCAGTGTGTTCGCTTATGTCCTATAGCCTTCATGGCTTGCTGTACGGTTGCGTTCGGGGTGTCGGATAGGACAGGGCGAGGCGAAACCGGGGCTGCCAAGGGCCTTACACTACTGCAGAGTACTAATTGCTGCTCTCGGAGCGCCAGGGCGCGTGTGCGCCGAAGCGCGGTCTAGCGCCACACGGCGCGGTCTGAGCGCGCGCAGCGCTGTCCAGCGCGGCCACACCGGCACGGCCGAAAGAACTGACGCACAGCACTAGACAACTAAACGCAGCATTAATGACTGCGTCCACTGGTCACCCGCCCCGAGGGCAAACCTGAAGCGTCAGCGACGCACGAACCACACCCTGGCCAGCGGGGCTGGCCAGGCGACATTCCTAGCGCGCGACGATACTCTATAGGCACTTATTTGCCGTGCGGTAATCGCTGTACAGCTGCACGTCCGGCGCTCCGAGGGGACTGCCTAATCACCGGTCTCCAACTGGGCCGAGCCTGCCGCTTATAAACGAGGGACACTGAGGGCGGGGGGGGGGAAGTGAGAGCAACAATAATAATAAGCTCCAATAGTGTAGGCAGAATGCCGGAACTATGGAGCTGTCAGCTGAAATAGTAAATTCGAATTCTCAGCAAGCCATACGGCTGCCGTACATAACCTAGCTTAGAGGCTATACTCGCTTTGCTCCTGCCGCATCTAAGCTACAATTATGTCCTATAGCCTTCATGGCTTGCTGTACGGTTGCGTTCGGGGTGTCGGATAGG